AAAATATTATTAATAACATCTTGTCATATACAACTTGCTATCATTGTCATAAGATGCATGGTTATGAAAAAGAATATACAACTAAACCATTGACATCAAAAGGACATAGACAAATCCATTGTATATTAAATCATTTTGACAGTGGATATACGAAACTAACAAATTTAAAAGATAAGAAGAACTATTTGAAAGGCATTGTAGACAAATCAAACCATATTTCAAGACCATTATATAAAAAGTTCCTGAATGAAACAAAGAACACAAAAATGATTGATGAGTACAAAATGTTTTGGTTGTTGGACTACAACATTTCTTATCTCAATGACAAATGGGATTTTCGTGATGAGAATTATAACTATAGAAAACAACACGAAGATAAGATAATCAATATTATGGTTTTGTTCTTTTATAATTACTTCACAAAACATGTAGGTCTTTACAGAAAATATTTTAATTTTGGTGATGTATATGATTATTTATCTGATGTATTTAGAGAAGAAGGAGATGAAGAATAAAAAATATGATAAATAAGCAACCATAATATTATTAATTATATAATATTATTGTTGAAACCCCCTACTACCCATACTATGCCCCATAAAATGAATAAACCTAACCTTGCCCATTTCGGGATGTTACATCACCTGATAAATAGGATGAGATAGAGTATTTTAAGGATAATGAGCTAGTAGTTGTTATTTATATGTATATATAGGTTCACGGTGATGTAACTACCCAAACTGGGCAAGGCCCTCCCTAACTGATTGTGTTGCCAATACCTCGCCCACGAGCAACGATACTTGAAATGCGGTGTGGCTGTCACTTGCTCCGAATGCTGCAAGAGATCATGTACATCAACACGTCACGCAAAGAACGCCAAGTCACCTGCCTTTGTCGCACAGAACACGAGGACAGACTGCTGCATTGAGACACACTCCTTCCAAAAGCCAAAGAAATTCGCCGCTTCCGCAGCTCTCGGTTGCAGGTGCCAAATGAGGACCCTGCCCAAACCAAGGGCACAAGCCCGTCCGGGTCGCGGTTGTTTCTCGAGAGAGGCCTGCTTGCCTCCAGCCACAAGGCGTGCAGCAAGCAATACCAGTTGACAGAACCAAAGAAGGCTTTCCCGGAGGCAAAGGTCAACGGCAATCTCTTCTCTGAGGCACGTGCCTGCAGGCTCGAGCCCTGCTGCAGGACCTGACTCGCTGGTTCTGAAGTAACGCATAGTAACGTAAGAGCGGAAGTCTTCGCTCTGAGGTCCAGGCCTGGCCCTTCATGGCCACGGAGAGGCTCAGAGGCACCGGTCGATCCTCGCTGACGTAGAGTCTGGCCCCCAGCCAGTCCTGCATTTTGCAGGGCTTCAAGGATCAATCGACAACGACTCCCGGCGATCTCAGGACGGCAAAAGCACGGTCCGCTAGCAGCCGCACATTCGGAAGCGTGGCCGACATGCCGACGATTTGCAGTCCTGCACCTGTCTCACTCGATTTCCGTCGCACTAGGCTCAGAAATCTTTGGCAAACCAGGCGGGTCTGCTACCACCTGCGTCCGCAGCCTCGGTTTTTTGAAGATTTCCCGCTGTCAGTGACCCCCAAGTCCCTTGAGGCTTCGACCATCGCGGCGCTCAGCCTTGCCTTGACCAGGATGAGCTCCAACAGATAACCCCGGTGCTCCTTCAAAGCTGCCCCCGGCCCCCCCCACATAGAACTGAGCAGTGCACCCTGGTGTCGGGCCTCTCCCAGAAGGTGCATTTCGTCGACGACGATCTTGGAATCCGTGCCGTGCCACAAGAGTCGGACCAACACAGGAATGCGGCATACCCCAATTCTAGCGGGACCAAGTGATGCCAATGGTGATCTCTACACATGGCAGTTATCTACATTCTCTGTCGATCGCGACTTCCCATGAAGTGCCAGCAATCACTGGTCTCATATGAGCCTACAGAGACTCGCCAATGGAATCTTCGTGACTGCATCCGAGCAGCGACGCCGATGTCGCGGAGAAGCGCGTCTTCCTGTGACAGTCCGACAGTCCCCGTGTCACAGCGTCATTCGTTGCGACAGCTTGCAGTGCAGCCTCCAGCAAGCGATTCAGCAGGGCACTGGCTTTCTCAATTGTGCAAACCGCGACATCAGCACCGGCATGCCACCTCGAGCGAATGCAGACTCTCACCAAACAGCTCGTCTGTGAAGCTACCGGAGATTCACCATACTTGGAAGGATTGCAGGGTCTTATGCGCGCTCTCCTACACAATCTCAGGCAGAAACTTGCCGTCCGAAGCTGAGTAGAGACCTTCGACGCGCAGGCCTTATGGCCGCAACTTGCACACGCATGAGGACTTGTCAATGCGTCTGCGGGCTTAGTCTGCTGCCACAGGCTCCAAAAGCTTGACGAAGCTTGGAGACCTTCTCTACACAGATGGAGACCTCCAGAAGCGCTTGGTCTGTCCACTCTGAAACTGGAGTCACCACCCCTGCTGTCAAGGCTGTACACACCGGCATTCCACAGAGGTTGGTAAGGTCGCCACAAACGGAAGAATGAGGAGCGCCCTCCGTCCGTGAAATAGAAGCTGCCGGAGCATCAACACCTCTGGCTTTCAAGTTAAGCTCAGAAGTACCAGTACAGCATATTCACTGAAGCCGCACAGCTCATCCCCTTGTCACAGACGCCTCGGAAACCAAAGACTTGCCGGCACTCGTCGGAGCCACCTACAGCTGCACGAATGGCTGACACTTCCAGAGCCAAAGAGTGCAACGCAAGTCTCAGAGGGCCGCATAAACGAGGGATTGTCCCGCAACGAGGACCTGACGAAAACGACGTGCAGGAATGGGAACATGTGAGAAGATCGTGAAGTCTGAGATTGCCGTAGCTTCGTTCTTTGCATGACCATCTTGTGACGACTGGCTGGTTCGTGTGGTCCTAGGCGCCCAAGATTGGTTTTGAGCTGAGATCGCAAGCTGTCGCTAGTTTTCGATCGAACCGTATAGTAGGTGCTGAAACAAATCCAAGCAATTCTCGAAGGCATCTTCCTATGCCTGGAAGAGACTGTATACCACTTGGGCACGAGGATTGCTCGGATACTGTGCTATTAACCTGCCAAGAAGCCTTGCTCGTGCTACGGTGGGCTACGGCTATGTTGCGCAGGCACGACCATGCATAAGAAGAATTCTGCTCATCGTAACGGAAACCTCGCTGGTATTGTCTTGAATGATCTGGGCTACACTTCGAGATAACACTGTCTGAATTATTGTTTCTGCGGTAGCCTGCTCTCTTGCTCTCTCGCTTGCGGGTCCGAGAAATTATCGAACAAAAACTGTTGCCCGAAGACCATCAAAATCTGTCAATGCCATCTCTCGATACAGCTGCTGAATACACTAGACCCATCAGGGCTTCAGAGCTTCAGGAGATGTGATGACTGTGGATTGTCATCGAAATTTAGCCCCTCATCCTAAAGCCCAACAGGCTCCTTACGAATGCCGGGTGCTTGTTTCGGAAGAGTGCTGGGCTGCATTGTCGTTTTCTCACGTGGCATGATCAGCTACGAGTTGTCGAACGACAGAAGATTCATTTTAGGAGCTGCCATCACGGCTCCTTGGACTTCGAATGGACTTCAAACGCCCCCGTCACGCCCCTGGCTGAGCCATCTTCAAGTGTCTACAATCTGACATGCTCCTACGCGCTCCGAAACTGGCATGACATCTTCCGATCCAGAAGCGTCGAGACAGGTCGAGAGCGGCACCAGGGCCGAGGATTCGGGAAGCGGCTCCATGTAAACTCCATCCTGTACGTATTATTGAAAAATTATCTGGTGAGGCCCCTGGCGACTGGCAAGGTAGATGCCAGCTGCCTTTTGGCGCTGCCTGCCTTGAGCTCGACCAGTGCACTTGTACTGCACAAGACGTTCCCGCTTGCTCAGACCCAACCCTGATGGCCGGGCTCTTGCATTGTTCTATCTTGTGATCATTTTGGGCACTCGCCGCTTACACGGCACCCTTAGATCAACCCCCCGGCATTACACGGCGACAAAGGTTTCACCGAAGGCGGCGGCAGCCACACGTTCGCAGCCTCCTCGCATCCCATCAAATGCCTCCTGGGACTTGCTCAACCCAGCAACATAATCTGATCGCCGTATAGCAACAGCCATGATAGTGTCATGCAAACCACGCTGACAAAAAAATGTACATAGATCAATACTGTGACAGCTGAGAGAGGCTTAAAGAGTAACGATCAAGAGAGGAAACGTCTATCATTCTTGATTTCCAAGGGCTGGCCGGACACTTCGGTTTGCGAGGCTACAAAACACGATTAATAAGAAGATGCGAGACGAAAACTCGGTGCCTTCCAATCTCAAGAATGCCAACTTACTTTCCATGCACCTTCTGCAAGTTCTATGGGTTCAATGATAGCGCAGTATTCACGAGCCCCAATCCCTACACCAATTCCCAGAGCCCTTTGGGATCGTTGGTTCCACAAAGCATTCGGAATGAAGCCCGCATCTCAACCGCGCCCTACAAGTAGAGGCCTAGGGCTTGAGCCCTTGCAATCCAAGTTTCGCGTAAGAAATCAGGCAGGTCCCTGCTGGCGAAGTCTGCAGCCCCCATTCCCCTCGCGTTGCGCAGGTCAAGCCGTGCTCCTGATGGCCGTAGACAGGGCTGTGTATGCAAGACAGAATACCCTTGGCGCGATGCAGGTAGACACAGCAGACCTTAATCCCAGTCCAACCGAGTCCTGAAGCAACGAGTGCTGCAGCACCTTCGTACTGGCAGGTCAGCATGGCCAGGATCAACGGAGTGGCACCAGGACCGTGATATGCCAAAGTTGACCTAAGATTGACATTGAGGGGCTCGTCAGCTGCAAGCCGTCTTGAGCGATCTTCAGCTGGCTGCAGTGACACCAATACATACGATACGTTTTAAAGTCCAGGATAGCTGCATCTCCGTTAGCCTGATTCGATTAAGCAGTTAGCATCTGACAACTGCAATCTTCGCATGGAAGTTAGCAAAAGTTAACGGAGTCAAGTGACAGTGCCGTGACTCTTCCAAGCCTGTATTGCAAAGTCTTCACTGTGCCGAATATCCCCAAGATGACGGAGTCCTTCCACCAGCCTTGGGTAACTGTTTCCGTGGATGGTGCAAGGTCGCCTGTAGCATTTTCCAGTCGGGACGAAATCTGTGCAAATGCTCTTGACAAACCAAAAGCTACTAGTACCATAGTCATCGCCAACACGACCGTGATATTTTCGGCTTTTTGCTGCAATTGTTTCGGCGCGCAAGAACGGGAACTCCTGCAAATCCTCGCACTCCCCTCCTCCTCCTCTCTTCCTCCTCCTCCCTTATGCTCCTATATTGCTTGCGCAGCAATGCTTACCCGATCATTGTTGCCAGACTCGCTGATGTTCTTCTTCTCTTGATACTCTGGTTTACAGAAAACAGCCGTGCGAGAAGGCCAAAACGGTCCGAGGAACCGAAGCTCTGATCATTCACATCAGCTCGTAGCTCGACGAGTCTCTGAACCAGCGCGACACTGCCTCCCCGATCTGCCATCGCAAGCTGCAAGCCACGAGTGGCAGCAGCTGCATTCAAGGTCTGGCCCGCCCGTGCTGCCTGAGCCAACAGCTCCTCCACTGCCTCCAGTTTGTTGTAGCAGCAAGCTTGTTCAAAGGCGGTATGGCCGACAAGGTTGCGATGCTGCAAAGGACATCCAGCGTCGCAAAGAAGGCGGATGCCTTCGGGATTGTTGGCGACTGCTGCAGCGACCAGGGGTGTGCTGACAAAACCATCTGCAAGAGCAGCCCGAGCTTCGATCAGCACTTTCGAGGCCTCCAAGTGCCGATGGAACAGAGAAATGGCCAGCGGCGAAGTGTAGGCCGGTGCTCCCAAGAGGGGCTGATCCTTTCTTGTCGTCCGGTTTGGGTTGGCCCGAAGCCCCAACAGCCCTCGAAGCAGAGCCGGATCCCCACGCAAGGCTGCATAATGCAGAGGGGACCAGCCGCCCCGGTCAGTCTCGCGGACATGCGTGAATCCGTTCCTGGATCTCTATGGCATCACCACATGCTTCGAAAAGGAAGAGGAATGAAACGGAAGCATGGCAGGGAGCATGTGACGGAGCAGAGGATTACAGACAAATGCGGTGACAGTGACCGCCCTTTGGCTTCTGGGACCCGAAAGCTTCAACAGCCCTGAGCGCTTTAATTGAATATGCCCCTCAAGACGGGGATGAGCGATAACGCCGTGAGGACAACAGGTCCCGAGACTGAGGGGCACCCAAATTTTTCTACACGTAAACGCACACCTAGCCTAAACTACAAATGAAAGACACGCGATGATTACATCATGGATCTGATGGAAGAAGGTCGTCACGGAGCAGTGGTAATCGCTGTTCTCCAAGCCGGGCACCAGCTCACAGAGTTCCTGCACCTCCAAGCCTCTGAGGTAGGACTTCCTAGGCTCAGCAGAGAGCTGACCGACATAACCTAACCTAAGGCCTAAGTGCTGCTTTTCCTTGCTTCTTGCTGGATCCCTGCCCCGCTACCAAGAAGATGACAAAACTAGCGTCTTCAGCAGCTTCTACTACGTCCTAGCGTCTGCTGATTCAGGAAGATCCGGTAGCCGACGACATCCTGGCACCTGAGCAATGAAAGGAGCTTCTGCGTCAGCGCACCCACCAGGACGGGCGCGAGCTTTTGACGGTCGTCTTGCACTGTGAACTCACCTGGAGGGGTAAACCTTCCTGAACAGTCAACCCCACACAAGGATCCCCAACCTTCACACAGCCTAGTGTTCTGGAACCCTATGGAGTGTTGGAAGCTTCTCGCATCCATGGCTGTAATGACCGCAGAAGCCGCAATTGTGACTCAAACTTAAATGGCAGTCTTGCAGGCGAATGAATGTGAAACCACATGGTACTTTGAGGACAGAAACCTTCAGCACATCACTCCCACAATGAAACGCGATGCACACATCTGCTGTCATCCTAGATCCAAGATGCGGGACCTCTTCTAAGCCTGAACCGTCACGAATGCGAGAGCAAGACCGCATGGGAACGGCGACAACGACGACAACGACGACGGCGACCACCACCAACAACACCACCACCACCACCACAACAACAACAAGAAGCAGAAGAAGGTAGCTGTTGCGTCTGCCGCCGCGAAGGGTGTGACGCTATTGTTTGAAGCTTCTTCGGTCAAGAGCCTGACAACCTCGAGATTTGTGTGGTGTTCGTGAATAAGAGGATGCTTTGCCCCTTGGTTGTTCCATGGTGTTCAGTGTGGCTTTTGCGGAAGTGTCGCAAATACCGCGGTTCTCGTTGTCGCTGTTGTTGTTGTTGCTGCAGTTTTGTATGTATGTTTAAAAGTTTTTGCTTGTAAAGGCCGCAAAACGCGAGACGTTTGAAGCGGGAGAGTCCGACAAGCAACAGGCAAACAGCAGCAACAGGGAGCACCATTGTCATTGTAACTGTTATCATAATTTATAGTTATAGTCATCACCATCGTTATCCTCTGCGTGAACAAGCAACAACATCAACATCATTATCATCAAATAATCATACTTACCAACATCATCGTAATCAGGAGCATCGACATCATGATCATCAGCAACAACATCATCATCATCATCATCCTCACCATCGTCATCAGGGTCAAGGCAATCTGCTTTGCGAATACAGCTTTGAATCTGGAGCTGG